AATACTTGGTGGTCCCATGCCGGTACGTGACTTGTGTGCGGCTTCGGAGCCGGGACACGGCCGCACCGTCACCGTCGCCGTCGCCGTCGGCGTCGCGCGGAGGACCCCGTTTTCTGCCACCTAAAGGAGCGCGCGGATACGCCGGCGTCCGCTATTGCGCCCGGGTTATTGTATCCGGTATCGGCCGCCACAAGTTTCGACCGTGGTAATCGATTGTGCATTGAGGCCGCGCCGCGGCGTGTGCGAGCCGCGGTCGACGGAGAAAATTGCCGGGGAGTTTTTCAACGGGGAGGAAATGGGGCGGGACGACGTCGCGCCGCGGGAAATCGGGGCCGCGGGACGCGCGTTCTTGACAAATTGATGGCCCGCGATGAAAATTCCTTTCACCGCGGGTTTAATTAAGATCTCGTGGGACGCTCGGTTCGAGGAGTTTTTGCTTTTGGATGCTTTTGATGTATCGCCGGAACGGAGCTGGGATGAGACGCGTAGGTTGAGCTGGAATTTTGTGATTCGACAATATTTCTTAAAACGTTCGACCTTAGTTTCGTCTCTCTTTATTGCTTATGATGTGTTTGGTACATTTTAAATATTCTTAGTAGTCATATTCTTATTTTGAAGCTTATAACGCTTCGAAAATTACTGACGAAACTTTGCTTTGCTCTCTTTTGGATTGTTACCTCGATCTCGATTGTCTCAAGCTCCAAAAATCCTCAACGAGCAAATCGGCATCTTAATCCTCGGAATTCAAACAATGCGATGCAAGACACGAATGTTCGACCACGCCAATGCCTCGTTTATGTTTTTCGGCCGTCCGGAATACCCGTTGTGGGTATTTCACATATTCGTAAAATATTTGAAGCGCGCTGAAATATGAAAAGGTTATTATCGCGTCGCTGGTAGTTAAAATCGAGGATTCGTGCGGCGTCGATAAAAATTCTTCGCGGATCGCGGAGGACGACAGGGCTTGAATTTTAAAGCGGCGTCTCCCGCGAAAAACGGGGAAACGCGGATAGAAGAGAGCCACGTTTCTCCGTGGCCGAAAGAAATTTCACATTCGATTTCCAGGAAAATTGACGCAAGGTCCTCCGGCTTCGATTTCCTGGGGTCCGCCGTCATTAACGTGTTCGGGCTGACTCGGCTATGTTCGACGGGTCCAATTTTGCTCGCGCGACCGCAGCCCCGCTCCAATGACATTCCTCCGTCCATTCCCGCCGCGACATCTAAATTCCGCGGCGCGCGGGATAATTTGAAAGATCTAGTTTTTACAAGACAGCCCGCTGATTAGGAGTATCTGATTATCCGGCGAGGAGCATGCGAAGGCCTTCATTCCGCGGCCGGTCCCTCCATTGTTCTCTTTAATTTCGAGCCGTTCGCGTTGCTTTGACAGTCGATGATTAGAAAGGACCCTCGAGGAACTCGAGGGCCGGAGAACACCTTTTCACGTTTTATTAGCGTTTATGAGAGGTGCGTGAAAAAGTAAAAGGTCTTCCTGGGACTCGTTCTCTAACTGTACTTGGCTGAATACAATTCTTGTATTGTTCGGTGTATCGATTGTGTTAGATACAGTTACAAAATGGTGAACTGATTGTCTTTGGTGGTAGACGAATCTCTAATTTATTAGTGACCGCATAATTTTGTTTATTTTTGGAGTTGTTCGTACGTTTTACCGTTGACAGGAAACCACTGTATATTTGTCTAAAACATATTAGAAGCACTTTCGTATCGTAGTTGTTTAAAACAGTTTATATTGTGACAATAAAAAGTAATCTGAATCATTATCTTTTTCTAAATGTAAAGATGTAAACTGCATTCTTCTTTCCCCAAATGTTATCGATTTTCGAATAACATCGAAATCTTCTGTCAAGTTAGGAGGAACGCGTGAAAAGGAAAGAGCGTCGATTATTTCCAAGATTCGTGAAACTCGCCTGGCTTCGGTTTCTCCCAACGATTTTTCCTCAATTTTCATTCGCTGCCGTGCGCGCAATCTTTGATAATGACTCAGAAGATAATTTACAGTAAGCCACGGCGGCGTCTTAAGCCGCCGCGTTAAAGACCTCGTTTCTGCCACCTAAAGGAGCGCGGTTATATTGCGCCGAGGCTATCGGCCCCATTCCATCGGTTCCCTTCTCGGACTTGCTTCGTTATCGTTCCCTCGGATTCTAATCCTTCGTAACTAGTAGGACTCCGGGCAACGATCTTCGAAAATGGTCCACCGACTACGACGCTTGTATCGCCTTTTCATGCTCGTTCGCCAGCGAAGGGCGACTTTTCCAACTTCGAATCGAGCATTCGACCACGATAAATTCGAAAGATTATTTGGAACTACAGTGAAAAAGTCGCAAATACTTTCTACAGCATTGACCTACGAACCCATAATATGTTTTGTATGCGATACGTAACAAAAAATGTTGAACACTTTCAGTGCTGCTACACAATATCAACTTCGTGAAAATGATGCATTTTTTATCTAATATTGGACGTTAATATTTCTAACAAGATAGTGAGAGGAAATTAATTTAATTTTCCTTTACAAAGATTTGTCACAATCATTAAATTCCATTTTCAGTTTCATTCAATTTGAGAAGTAAAGATACTAGATAACTCCTGGTTATAAACAGTTATTATAATTATGAAGATATTTTTAATTGTTACAATAGAATTTGGGTGAGATTTCAACTTGCAATTATAAGTAATTACAAACCGGTTGCTTTAAATTTTTTATACTTCTACAAATCGAATATCTTCAGTAGATTTTTAGTTGCCTTCAATTGCTATATTCAGTTGCGTTAAAGAAGTTTCAAGTTATCTCTGTTAGAATTTTCCCGAAATTTTTTAGATGACTGGGTCACGCGATAGGAAACGGGTACGCGTATCCTGGGACGTCTACGGAGTTCCGTTTCTGTTATCTGAAGGAGCGCGCGGATACGTTGCGGCGAGTTCATTACACGATCTGGGCTATCGCCGCGGATTGTTCGATTGGCCTTATTGAATTAGTATTCGGTCTTAGGTTTACTTCGCGATTGTCTGATACAGGTTATCTGTATGTATCCCCGTTCGTTACGGCTGTCGCACTCACTGAGAAATTTATGAACACGGTTCACGCAGTTCACGGGCTGCTCTTCTCGGAACAATGTTTTTCGAAAAACGAATTCCAATCAAAAGTGCTTAGCTTTTCTATAAATCATTGTATTTATGCATACTTTATCCAACAACGATTAATTTAATAACATTGTGTAAGTCGTCCACTACCTATATACTTTACAGCCTTTACTTGTAGGTTAATAGCAGTCTATGGAAAATATATTTCCCTTTTCTAAAACTTAAATGACCGTAACAATTTTTTACGGGTCGTTATAAACAGTTTATATATTGTTATACACTATTGTTGAATTTTCTGAAAAAGTCTCGGTGTTTTAAAACGTCGGCCTGAAAAATGATTAAGCACGTGCGTCGCAAAATTTGACTCTAATCCGACGAACGCGCCCGACGTGTTCAACCATCCCATGCCCCGATCAGAAGGGGGTCTCGTCTCGATCATAACAGCCGGGGGTTAGTTTGATCTCAGATAGGGCTGGAATCATGGGGCGTAACAACGTAGGGAGTCCACTGACGGGGAGATCCTCCGAGGGGACGCTGAAGGTTCATTTCTCCATTTTCGTGTCCCAGTACGTCGCTTTTTTTCGTTACTCGGTTTTGAAGCTAGGAAAAATCATTCTACACGATTTAGAAACGTATGTATTCAAAATACGTAGCATATCTGAATTTTTCCTATAATTCCTAATTGAAGATCTTAAACTTTTAAGTTAGATTTAATATTTCTGAATTACTCCTTTTTATCGCGTTCACCATAGTTATTGAACAGTGTTTTCGATGATTCAAATCTATTAAAATGACTAAAATGTCAACCAATTCCTGCAACAACGTGTATCCCGCTATTTTTCCAGTAATTCCTTCAAAATGCCGGGTGCCCGACACGCGAAGGAAGCGCAAGGCTGGTTAAATAACCGGTTTCCTAATTCGTCGCGCCGTCCAAGTCGCGCTCGTGTCTAATTGCATACCATCTATGTCGTGCCGCCCGTTTTAACACCTGTCTTACGAAAATCCATTAACGACGCGGATGCACGGACTCGGATAGTCAGCCGACGGGGAAATTTGTAGCTGTGGTCGCGGGTACACGCGCGGCCCTCGATTACAACCCCCATTTCGAACCCCTCCGATCATCCAACGCGACCGGGCAACAGGAAAAATTACATTCTTGCGTCACACGGACATTTAACAAGAAATATTAATTATTTCTCAGTATCACAATTCTTTTAATATTTAGCATCAAATTAATACAGAATTAAATAAAATTTTAGTTTCCCAATTTCATTGCTGACAATTTTTAAATTGTAGTAAATTTTCCACATTATTTAAATAATATTTAGGTATTTCGATCGTTCCTAGTTTGTTCTTTTCAGATTCTCATCTGAAATGTTTCGAACATTTACGAGAACGTTCGAAAAAGGATCGAAAAAAAAGATAGTCCCAAAAATAACCGTCAGTTAATCGGTTCAATTACCGACGCCCCATCAACCGAGACAAACTCGGTCTATCTCCGGTTCGCGCACACCCGTCTGCCCCCCTCCCCCTCCACCCGATGAAATTTCTTTTCCCATCGCGGCGGAAATTGCGTAACACGGTGTCCCGGTCCGAAGAACGTTATTTCACGCGGAAAGAATTTCCCGGCGCCGGGGAAAGGCGTCCGCGCGGGCGTCACGCCGCGAGTAGGAGAAACCAATTTCGTAGGTGAATTTTAGCTGCGTATTATCCAGCCCGCCCCCGTCCTCTGCCTGAGCGGCCAACCCTCGGCGCAGTTTCCACCTACTTGGCCGCTAGTCCATTAGCGAGGCGCCCTCATTTAAACGTTTCCGCCGCTTAATCGCGCATAGCTAATCCCACTTTTTCACCTTTCCTTCTTCCCCACTATCATCGATTCTTTTTCTTTTGCAGACCTCTCCCCGCAACGGATCTTCCCGCCCCGCGGCTGTGATCGGCGACAACGAGGTGACCCGACTGATCCGACGGCGCCAACCCGATCGTAGTGTGTCTGTGATATAGCTCAGTGTCTGTGTACTACCCGACCGCCGAATCCTAGTGTCGCAGGATAATGCGTAGTGGTGGTCTACGATTTCAGTGATTGAAGACGAAGAAGACGACGAAGACGATGCAGTCGGTGAACTAGTGTGACAGTGTTAAAAATCGATCGTTTCGAGAGAAACCGGTTGGCCGTCCTAAATATAACCGGAAATAATGGCTAGCGCGACAATGGGACTCCGTCGCAGAGTGCCGGTGAATTCGCCAACCCCGTCGGGTCAATCCGTGTCCGCCTCCGGCGGGTCCAGCAAGCGTTCGAGGTCCGAGAACAACAACAGCCCGTCCCATGGGAACCTGAACTCGATGAATGGCTCCTCGCGGGACGAGCCGCCGACCAAGAAGTCCCGCGGCACCTCGACCAACGCGACCAAGGCTGCCTCCTCGGTGTCCTCTAACTCTTCGTCCCCAGAGGTCAGCCCAACCTCTAAGAGTCGCGGCGGGTCCGTGTCCAGGTCCTCGCAGGCGAAGTCCTCTACTCCGCCGGGTTCTACGGCGGACACCAGCAACGGGCTGTCCGCCAACTGGCCAACTCAGACGAATATGTCCGACATGTCGACCTACGCGACCGTACCTGGTCTCGGCATGCCCGGTAATCCTGCCACCGGCCTGTGCGCCGCTGGCCTAAGCATGCCTACCCCCATACCGTACATGTCCTCGTCGATGGCGACGTTCGTCGGCAACGCGACTAACCTGGGTAAAAGCTCATCGGTCTCCTACCTGGACATCTCGAACATGACCGGCGGATCGTTGAGTTCGACGGCGTCCGCTGGCCTGGGCTCCGGCTACGTGCCCGGTAACGGGAACGCGGGCAGCGCGATGGACTCGAAGAACGGCGCCGTGCCCATCCCGTTTCCCGGCATCACTTCCGGCGTAAACGGCGCCGATTACGGCATGCAGAAGGGCCAGCCGGACAACGTCAGCTTGCCCAAGAAATTCCAGAACGACGGGATGTTCAACGCGTACCAGCCGTGGGTGATCAAGACTTATGGGGACCTCGCCAAGACCAAGACGATCACGATCAAGAAGTACGCGCGTATATTGAGAACACTTAGGGGGGAGGAAGTGAACAGTGCGGAGAACAGTAAATTTCGGTTTTGGGTGAAGAGTAAGGGCTTCCACATTGGCCAGCCGGAAGGATACGACGCGAAACCGGCGGACAGGATTATCGGGCGTCACGCGGTGACGAGTCCCGGATTGGATCCTCCGCTGTACGTGCCCACACAGCTGCCGCACAACAAGGTGAGTCTGTCTGAGTGGATTATCGGGCTTCCCGTGGCCGCCGCTGCTCTGCCTTCGGTTCCGAGCTGGGGCCACGGTTTTGCGGGGATGTACGATCGGTTCCATGGAATCGGAGATGTTTGATTTTCAGGGCGGGGCACTAGTGTTTATTTGTCCGGATGGACGAAAAATTTTCTTCAGGGTCGCGGCGAATTTTGATCGGATATTTAAACGTCGATTACCGTAAATTTGAAGGGGACTAGATATCTGATTTACAACGATGCAGCTTGCATGCGATTATGTTGTTTATGATTGAGGAATTTTCTGAAGAAAGATAGATTCGTGAATTCTTGAATGTAATGATTCAAATAGTGAATTTCATACGGTGAGATGGGATATTTTTTAAGAATATTGACATTTAATTATTGGTTACAAGTGAATCGAACTGAACTGAAGATTTTTTAGTTAGGCAGCAAAGTTGATCGAATAATTTTAAGTCACGAAACCTATTCTACAATTTCGTACTGAATCTGTGTATTTTGAATTCCTTTTGGAGTAGCCAAATCAGTTTTGGCTCTAGCCAAGCTTTATCTATAGCTCAACCGTATCGCGTTCGAAAAACGGAGCAGGCGTTTCGACTTGAATCGCATTAGCGTTGAATGGAACGTTGGAAGCGAATACCGCCAGATCGAACCGAACCGAAGTGAATAATTCGAAATCATGAACCCGGTGCTCGGTAACCAAACGTTTCCGAACGGAGCCACGCTAAAAATACTTCATATTGAGTTCGCACATTTGTTCGACGACGCGCCGAATATACTCTGACCACGTTTAAACACGCTCGGCACGCTTCGGTTCGGTTTAAATCACAATCGTTTTTAAATTTCGGCCCGAGTAACGCGCTGACGGAAGTCCAGCACCTAATATTACCTGTTCACGGTATCCATTAGCTATATACCCAATGTACTTACATTAAACAATCAAACTTTCTGTTATGCAATCAAGGAGTGGCAACTACATACTGCAATACGATACAATTTTTACAATTAACTACACATAATAATACTCTAAATTCAGTTAACTTTGGAACGATATAACAGAATGATTCGTTTAGAATACTGTTTCGTCTATAGCAGAGTTCTAGCTTCGACATATAAAGGGTTAATCTACCCCCGTTAGTGTACAATAAGTTAAAACATCCACTTTTCGAATCCCAAATTCGCAAGATCGCCGATCACCAATATCCAGCGGGATATGTAATCTTCAATAAAAGTCTTTTTAACACGGCGAGCCATCTAGAAAACCAAATCGCCCGTTAAAACTCGCCGTCGAGGTGCACGTGACCCGTCAATTAATAACCCCCATAAATTACCCGCCAGGCCAATCAATTAGTCCAACGCGAAGTCATAAAGAGAGAAACACCGGTATGTGTATACGGTATCCCGGGACCGGGTTCTCCTCCGCTCAGCTCGCTCGCGTACGTTCACCGCCTCGCTACCCGCGATCCGCCTGTCGACCGCAGACGATTTCTCACCGGATTCACGCGGGCGGTCCACTGAAACGGCGGGGTTACGGGTCGGAAATTTATCTGGCGGGCAAGTAGAAAAGCCGCGAGAAATCTCGGGCACGACTGCTAGGAAAATGAATCGCGCGCGAGCCGGGTGATGGACGAGGAGGCGGTGGACGGGACGGAGGAAGGCGGTGGAAGGAGGAAGAAGGAGAGACGGAGAGAAAGAGGAAAAGGCGCACGCCGCTCAGATAAGGTGGCTGCTTAATTACGTCTAATTACACGGATACGTAGGTAGCCGTGGCCGGCGGTGGCCAGCGGTCGTCGCAGCGAAAGGAAAAAAAAGATTGTCGGGCTGCGCCGCTTCGATCCAGTCACCGAAGCTTTGCCAGACTTAAGAACTTTGTTCTCGGTAGCTCGCGTGGGTTGGTTTTAAGCAGATTTTAGAAAATTGGCGAACTTAGCTTGCGCCTCACGTTCAGGTGTGTATTCTTGATGTGAAAAGTATTTTAATTTTTTAAATTGTTTCGTTTTGTAAAATGTTTGTTGTTTTATTGGGTGTTTGAAAAAATGTAGAATAATCATCATATTTGTATAATATTACTTTTCGTTACGAATTTTGCTTTGATGAATTTTTCATTTTTCTGCCTGGTTAATTGGATTTTGGTATTCTTTTCTTTCTTTTATTAGAAAGTTCGATGTAATCAGGAATCATCGTTCAGGATTGCGATATAAGGGATCAAATTATTTTGTAATAAAGAAGCGCTGATAATGTTTTCTTTTTTCGTTCGTGGGACAAGGTAGCATTTAAAACTTTGTGTTCACCTCGTAGAACGAATTTCTACGACCCGCAGCGTCACGTAATTTCTTGCCAAGTCGAAGTTTCGTCACACAGCGATTAGGCTTTACAATTTGCGGGTACGAAAGTCGTGGGACCATTCTTCTAGGCGCGAAAAAGGGTCGAGGTTCCGGGGATTATTGAGTGCCGGAGCCGGGGAAAAGAAATGCGGTTACGAAAGTACGGGACTTCTTGATGCATGGAACTTCGTTTACGAAAAAATCCTACTCCTTCACCTCTAATTTTTTGGTTTTTAATAATATACCTTGAACACATTCTGCTACTGTCCAGAGTCTTCTACTACTTTCTTGCTGACAAATCATCATTCCCTGTAATACGAAAATGAGGAATGAAAGGTGTCTTAGAACTTCATGTATTTTACACAATAGTAAAAGCCACTTTTTTATTCCGTTTATTTTCATATTTGTGCAGTGTTACGTTTAATATTTATTTCACTGAATTTTATAGGTTAGGCCACAAATGAACAAAACAAGTTTCTTAACACAATTATACGTTAAAATGAGAACAATTTGCAAAGAAATTTATACTATGAACTTTCATAAAATACCAAAACTTATTTATATCGGATAAAAGATTTACAACTGAAACATATTCAACACGAGCGAACTACTGTCACCTTCCTATTCTGTCCAACTGTCGGCATAAATTGCGACACAGAAAAAAAAAGGTTTCAACGAATCAATTTTTTGAACCGCGGTCGCATTTTCGTCGACCTCTCCCATTCCGGCGCGCTCCTCTTCGACCCAGATCTTGTAGCTTTATCAAGCTCGCAGCAGTTTCTCCGGCCACGGGTCCGACGTAACGCGGCCTTCGATCTCTGTGTGTAAGGCGCCTCCTTCATTTCTCACGCCGCTCGTGGCTGCTCGGGCTCTCCCCGAGTCGCAAGTGGAACGGCCAGAGATCCCGAACGGTTCGCACGAAAAATTTCAGTCACGGGCCAGCCCGTGATAAATAACCGATAATAAGTTGTCTGGCAAAACCGGGGAACCGTGGCGGCACGGTAATCTATGATCTCGGGCACGGTTTGATCCGCCACGGAGTCGTCGCGGAAAGGGAAGAAACGGATCCTTGATTGGAAACGATTCGACGGTTTCCTCGAACTGCCGGGGATCGTTTGTTATGCCAGTTCACGGCTTCCTTTTGCGAAACGTCCGCTGCCGTTCTCCGCTGTGGGGGGACTTTTTGTATCGGAAGCTGAAATATTGCTCCCTGGATAGAATTCGACCGGGAGCAAAATTTGAAGCCAGACATGACCTAAAAACAGACGAGGAGCCGAGATGGTTTTCTTAACTAATTTTATTAACCATTTCCGCAATTACCCACACGATTTTCTTATGCAATGATTCTCGGAGACACGAACTATTTTAGTGTCTTTAAACCTAACTTTAAAATATTTTATAATCCAAACGTCTGCGCCCTTTAAAGTACCATTTCCATGAAAATATGCTTGCCAATCGTATATGTAGATTTTCCTCTACAATATATCCCGTAATAGCAAAACATATTTATAATTACTATGCCCGAAATCTCGAAGCGCTCCAAACAAGAGTAACGATAAAATACAAGAACTAAGGGCGCGATAGGTTACCCTCGAAACGAAGTAACCCCGAAATCCAGTTACGAAGTTCTCGAAACCCGTTCGCCGTGCGGAGCGCAATCGAGGAAACTCCGACGAGCACCGTTCCAAAACTGCTCCACGATAGCGCCGGTGGCTTTCCTTATTTGAGACTCTATTAGAAAAAAACCTGCAGGATCTGTTAGCGAACGGCAGGCTAACGACAAGAGTCCCGGTAGAACAATCCGCGCTGGCCCGTTCCCATTTTCAACGGTTCGAACGAATAAGTCAACGGTATTTCGCCATCACGTGGAAGCGTTTCTCGACGGAGCGAAGGCCTGCGGAGTCGGCGGCGTTCTCAGGCCGCCCAGGGTACCGCGGAGAGGCGAGAGAGGCGACTCGGAGCTATCATTAACGACGCCGCGACGCTTCGCAGCCCAGGAAGCTCTCTCGGATTTACGCCTCTGACGTCCGCGGCGCGCGCGGTGGCGCGGCGTAAGCGTGGGATTCCAGGCGCGGAAGTAACGAGGAGAACGAGCGTCGGTGGCGGGAGAGCGAGAAGAAGAGACAGAAGTAGAGAGAGAGGGACAGAGGGAGGGAATGAGAGAGATTGGCCCTGCTTCCCACGGAAGGAAGAGCAGAAGCATAAAGTTGCCCGGTTCCCTCGTTCATCCGATCCGGATTCAGTTCCGCGTGTTGGCCGCCGGGAGATCGATCAGCCGTCTTCCATTCGATTCGCGCCGTGCTCGAAAAGAGGACACCGGGCTCTGTCTGTCTGCCTGACTGCCTCTCTTTCTATCCCACTGGCTTACCTCCTTCTCCCCCTTTGCCTCGTCCCTCTTTATCTTTCGCTCTGTCTCCGTCTGCCTCGTGCTGTGCGTAACGATGCTGGCCGAACGACGCACGGAGCCCGTAAAATATTTCTTCGTCGCGATAGTCATTTTTCACGGTTGACCGTCGTCAAGGGCCGCGAGATAACAGCGGCTCACCTCTCCGGTATCTGTTCCCGGCCGGCGCACGCTCCTCGTTCTCTCTCTCGTTGGGTGGCAGAAGAGTAGGTCTGGCCGGCTAGTCATTAGTCACTTTCCGAAGCAGAGGCA